CCTAGAAATCTTGAAGTGCTAGGGAATATCAGCCATCATGACGGTCATTGTTGAACGCTTCAATGAATCACCTGAAGAAAGCCTTACTCATATCTGATTGTTATTTAGGAACCAAATTTAATAGAATATGTATTCGCATTTTTATGAGGTCCTGAATTTAACCAAGTTTTACTAAATAGGAAATCCAAAATATGTACATAGGTCCGAAATCATAGGTTACTTCTACTGTATTTTAAAACAATATCTAGAAAAACGCACGAGAATTTCACTACACAGCTTAACGTAGTTTACGTCAACCATGCGGTTGTGTCTTGTACACAACCCCACCAATTTTTTATTAAAACAATCACACCAAAATCAGACATGTCTTTTTTCGTAATTACTCGATTAACAACTAATCGATTAGTTTTTGGTTCGCTGTGCCATCATTTTTCCACCAATGAGAGCACAGCACATGTTTGAAACGATGAGTAACGATCCTCTGGTGAAGTTAATGCTTATATTATCGGCAAGATATAACCAAGGGGGGGGGAGGTGGCTGTCAAATACGAACAATCGTCGCCTACTTCGCATAACTGGTTTCCAAATGTAAACAAGCCATAAGAAACCTACAGCGTTTGTTTACGTTTGGAACCAGTTTCATACAAGAATGATCAGTATGGTGATTTGACAGCACGTCTCCCCCAGGATATAACCGATTACAAATATTTTACTTTTCGGCCATCAATAGATGAATGTCATTTCAAATATAAGGATCGTACATAAATAATGATACTTTTTTTTTTTAAATTATAGTCACTTTAACGCTCTTGGGTCATTCGTGACTTGTCCGGGGGTGAGATTTGAACTCGTGACTTTGGCGTGAGAGGTATGGATGCTAACCACTACGCCGAAACAATTGAAAGGAACCGGGCTAGTAACAAATTACGTCCTCACGGTAACTGAAATAAACACGAGTGCTGACCGGTTGATATTACCAGGGGGTGGAAACTAACGATTTTAAATTGATTCACTGCTTGAGTAGCCTATTGGTCCCAAGTACTTCTATGGCGTACCCCATTCTAGTTGAAATTCTATTACTACACTATGTTTGTTTTGATTCGCTATGAAAGTTTGACAGATAACATCAGGGGTGTGTGGATTCATGCAAAACATGCAGGGGTGAGTGAAATAGCTTGGGACTGCTTGGGACCGTTGTTCTGGTACTGAGTGAGCCAAAAATAATAATGATTTTCTACGGGACCCAGTGGTCTTAGAGTTACCTCTATGATATTACTGCTTGACAAATAATTTTACATGCGTGAACTCAAAATTATGCGAGCACACTTTGTTCAGTGTGGGAAGACATAAAATAACACTAACTAGCGTTGGCCCAACTCAAGCAAAACTCAACGTCATCGGTCGTGAGAGGTTCGTTAATTCACACTTAGAAAAATTCATGTAAATTTAGGTGCTCTGAGGCTGACATTTACGAGCGTCAATTTTGACATAAAATTAAGTCATAATAGACGCGAAATTCAGCTCAATCAAACGTTCTTTTCGTCAAGTAACGAACTTTTTAGTCTCGAAGCACTTAATTTTACATGACATGTTTCTTTACTTCTTATCCTTTATGTCAAAGATGGATTCCGTCACGTGTAAAATAAGGCATTTCTGAGTGTGTTGTCTATTCGCTGATCGACTGATACAAACTTTAAAGTTCTAAAGCAGTTTTATTAAAAGAAATGTCACCTTTGATGCCGTGCTCATTCTGTGTATGCGTATTTGAATATGAAATCAACAATTTCAAAACTACTGTTTGTATTACTTTTATTTTAGGACAACTGAATTCAAGTGCAACATTTAAAAATAGTCAATTAACCATATGTAAACAATGACAATGAACGTCCATTTTTCACGGATTAAAACTCATTCAGGTACGACATCAGCATCTGGTAAACGAAATGTACTGTACCAGATATTCCTATCGTTTTGCCTGAATGAGTTTTAATCCACGAATCATTGACGTTTAAATTCATTTTTCACATTTGTTTCATTGAATCTTTTCACATGTTGTGCCAGAATTCAACAACATCAAATTGCGGATTTGGATGAATCTGTAATGTAAATCCCTTTTCCTATGGCCATTAGACGGAACATTCCGTAGGTAGCTGAAAAATACGTCTCATTATATACCTTATACCTTGTTTTTCCTTTTAATTCTACTACTATTGTATCACTTTAACTTTCACTTATTCACTTTCACTATCAATTTAAAAAAAAAAACTATAACAGAAACGTACTTCGTTTACTACTTGCAAACTTCTTCAGTGTCCAGTCCAGTCTATGACTACCCAAGTGACAATTCAAGCTGAATTGTAAGAACAGAAGTTGATTATTGGTTTATTTAAGGTGTACGAAGCTGATTAACATCAGGATGAATATATAGTTGATTAGTAGTGCATAAAGTGAATTGTATCCCCATAATTCAACCTCAGTAAGTTAGCTGATCCAAAGACTGAACAAGACTTATTTATGCTTAATACTACTCCACAAACCAGCAATGCGCTACAAATATTTTGATAGCCTGATACATTGTATGTAATGGTAATTTTTAGATATAATAACAATATAAATATGTGAATCCAATTAGTCAGCAAGATTCTGAAGCAGTCTCATAAAAAGTATAAGTTATGAAGCCCATCATTTAAAAAAACCAGGAAGGCTGAACAAGGGTTGGAAAAGCCTGTTGGTTAATGCCTTGAAAAGCTTATAATTTATAGTGATGTTAAGCTTTGGGCTGATTAAAATCACCAGATTTAGATGTTTAAAAGCTGAAAAAAGGCTAACGTGGTCTATGTACTACAATTATTCAAACATCCCAGGTAACAATTTGATGCTTAACAAGTGTTGTTCAATCGATTTTAATTCAGCCTTAGTTTGAATAATTGTTGTAAATAGACCACGTTAACCTTTGTTCAGCTTTTGAACATCTACATCTGGTGATTTTAGTCAGCCAAAAGCTTAACAGTTATAAACATTATAAGCTTTTTAAGGCATTAAATATCAGTTTTTTCCAACCTTTGTTCAGCCTTCTAGTTAAAAAAAAAAAAAAAATCAAGTCCGCTCCATATCTTATATATTTTTATGGAACTGCAACAAGGTGCTGACGAACTAATTGGATTTACTAATGTATATTGTTATTATAAGTCTAAAAATTACCTTTGCATTTCGGGATTCGAACCAGCAGTCACTGATTCACAGGCATCAATCATACCTACTGGACCAATTAAGCATATGTGTGGCAAAAGGTATGATCATTAACTTGAAACACGTCAAATTTAAATTGAATTACAGCAACCGGAAGAGTATTAAACAGCAATGCAGAATTGTAAACAACAACTGGTGACAGTTAAACATTCCTTTCAGTTCCAAGTGTAGTTGACACAATATGGACACTGTTTTTGTCAAAACACATAAATACAAATGCTAATACTTCCGACGTCGTCGCAGCCCACTTAAACCTGGAGCTATTCCTACAAAACTCCTCTAATTTGTCTTTAATGCTGCCGCTGCTTGGGTTAAAAAAGTAGGCAGTGAATTTAGAAGAACTAAAATGCCGGAAATGCAACGAGTGACAAGTACATTTAACAAATCAGGCTATCAAAATATGTGTAGTGCATTGCTCATTTGTGGAATAGTGTTAAGTTAAAATAAGGCTTGTTCAATATTTAGATCAGCTAACTTATTGAGGTTGCATTATGGGAATACAATTAGCCTCACGCACTACTAATCAACTATATATTCAGCCTGCTGTTAATCAGCTTTGTACACCTTCAATCAACCAATAATCAGCATTTGTTCTTACTGTTCAGCTTGAATTGTTCCTTGGGATAGACTGAATTAAAATCGTTGAAAGAATACTTGTTTCCTGGGTAGACACTGAAGAATCTTGCAAATAGTAAACGAAATACGTATCTGTTTTGTGCAACGTCATTTATATGTATAAAGGACGGCAAAACAATCGGTGTTCTTTATTATTAATCAATCCGTATTACAAAAACACAACGTAGGGATCCCGCCCCTGCGCGATCAGTATCTGTTATAGTTTTTTTTTTTAAAGTGATAGCGAAAGTAAATAGTGAAAGTGAAATAGAAAGTGAATTACTGAACGTGAAAGTGATTCAATAGTAGTAGAATTAAAAGGAAAAATAGCGCATAAAATTATTCTACTAAAACGCTCATCAATCGAATAAGGTATCATTATAATTTTACATGTCAGCAAACTTAAACGAGTAAAATTACAATTTTCATTCATTTTACGTCATGTAAAAATCCTAACGGACACAATTGACTGTCATTTGAGTCGCTTACATGTGTTGGTCTTAGGAGACTTAAAAAAACATGCAGTTTCCGAAGTGTGTAAGACTTATGCAATGTTCAGCTTGAACTCAGTAGTAAACACATTTCTTGATGCGTTTGCTTTATCAAACTATGTGGCAAAAATAGCGAAATCTGTTTATAGAACCGTGGTTATCAAAAGAGAAAGCCGATGAAGAGAATCGATCAAAGTCACTTACGCCCCTTTACTTAGAATTATTTGATGATATTTTCAAATATATCTAAGTTGTCTTACCCCTTGCATGTAACTTAGCAAACATAAAATTCTAATACTTCTACACGTTAAATTTTGGCTTCAAAAATTATTTAAATTATAGTACACTACTGGACAATCTGTTGCGTTCTTGAGCCAAACAATTTTTTTCAAATTTCGAATTCTGTTATCAATTGAAGAGTCGTTCCGATTTTCTGCATTTAAAATAAAATTCCGCAACTTTTTTTTTTTCATTGCTGAAATCAACCATGCCGGTATTCCATTACTAACCATATTTTGTTGTTCATGTAAAACCGTGCAAAATATGATGGGCACCCAGGACAAAATCGTGACCAGTGACCACCCTATCAACATCATGCAATAGAAATATTTCAAAGCAGTTTTTCCAATTCACAATTACTTTCAGATCGAGTTCTACCGGGACCTGATTCAAAGACCCGCCAAATGTCCCACGAACCATTCTTTCCCCATGGCAACGGTTGATAGCCCTTCCAACCACACCTACCCGGTCAACGTTGGGCGCAACATCGCACGGGACGCCGCGCAAACTCACTTCGTTCTGGCAAGCGACATCGAACTCTACCCGAATCCGGGATTCATCGAAATGTTCCTGCAAATGATCGTCCATCCGGCGTATCGTCATACCTTGGACGTGCCCAGCGTCTACGTGCTACCGGTGTTTGAAGTGTCCGGTTCGTCATCCGTTCCGGAGGACAAAATCGAACTGCTGCAGATGCTGAAAAGAGGCGATGCCATCAAATTTCACGAGAATATTTGCCCTCAGTGCCATACCGTTCCCAACTACGATGAGTGGTTGGCAATCGCCAAAACGGAGCAATCGATGGACATCCTATCGACGGCCAAGCGGGAGGGGAGATTTGACCTGTGGGAACCAATTTACGTGGGAACCAAAATGGAGCCACAGTACCAGGAGCGACTGAATTGGGAGGGTAAATTCGATAAAATGACGCAGGTTCGTCGCTTGAATGTGGTTCGTTGAAGTCTTTTGATTTTAAATCAGCTTTATTTTCCTTTGTAGGGTTACATCATGTGCGTGCTGGGGTACAGTTTTCACGTTCTTGATAACGGATTTCTGGTTCATAGGCCAGGATTCAAAAACCTAACTGAAGCTGCCCGACCAGATCTGGAACGGACGCAGAGGAATTTCGTCGAGGACGTGATTTTCGAAGAACTGAAAGTTTTATACGGAGAGGACAAACACTGCAGACTGTGAGCTCGAATATAGTTACATTTTTACATAAACTACACTTTTTTATTTCTCTGGTGACTTAATCCTACATGCTAAGTGATTGAGTATTTTGCATGGCATTATTTACAATCCCGTATCCAATGGCAACTTAGCCTTTAAAAGGCACACCCGGTAACATTCTCGACTCCGTCGCATGCGTTAATCAGCTCATTGAAAGCTTGCTCTGGACCGCAGAAATTGACACGTGGCCTATCGTCGACGCAAAGGAAGTATTTCTGGCAATTGTCCGGAGCCCGGTAGAATCGAATCGGGGCGATGAGTCCATCGGCTTGTGTTGGGCAGCTGAATCCAAGGTAGGCCGCTTCATCACAATCCTCAACTAGATCGGGCCAATCGCACTGATAGGTAGCACTGTTGAAGGCTAGACCGTACGGACATTCCAACCTGTGACCTCGACCGTTGTCACAGTTCATAAATCGACCGCAATCGGCTCGATCGCCCAGCTTGTAGTATCCGAACTGATGGGGACATTCTTCGCCTGGGATGGCCGGTTGGGTACGTGTTCTGCTGCCGCAGTCCACATCGATAGGGTACTGGCACGGGTAGGAAAATAGGTTCAACTTTTCGTTGAACAGAAGCCCATCGGGGCAGAGTTTACGCTCCGGGTTGCCGTCCTGCAATGAGAGGGGTGCTTTGAGTGGTTTGAAATTTAAATTAAATGGAACATTGCATCTCTTACAACACATTCGATGTAGGCGTCGCACTCGTCCGGAACGGGATATCGACCGTTTTTGTCCGGGCATGATTGACTGTTTGCTGTGGGGCGGGGAAATCAACCAAATGATTAGTGATAGGTGATAATCGGTGGACTGGTTTAGGAAAACATTTTTGCTAAGCTTAGCACAATTGAAACGATGAGAATGTCCTTGATTGGATCCATATGGATTTGAATATATGTAAATCAATATGTCAGGCTGCTGAACTTCATTGGAGTAGGAAGGTTAAAAATTAATCATGTGATAAATCTGCTTAATTAATTATGATTCATCGAGCGATTTTTTTTTTATTTTGCCTTATTGGTCGTCGTTGATATTTATTATCCAATCACTCTGCAATAGTAGATATTAAACTTTTCACGATGAGTTCATAACAAATTGGCCCGCTCGCTGCTGAGTGTTCGCCAACTTTAGCAAAGTTGCAGAGGACTTTATGACACTACAGGTTGGACTCCATTATCCGCAGTTTACTTTCGTCACTTCCATCGTAGATTTCTCGACATTCCTCGGATTTAAAGTATACTAATTTACTCAGAATGATTTCTAAACTGGTTGTCTTGGAGGTCGTTTCAATTTGAATTTAAAGCTATCCTAGCATTGCCATTAACGGTTTCTTTTCTAGGCATGGATTTCTGATGATCCTTCGAACTAGAGATTTTCAACTCCTTTGAAAGAAATCTTTTGATGTTATGCTGTTGAGCTGGCATTTGATGTACCTACTCATTTTTCGATGAACCGTAATTTTTTTTAAACGTTCCACTAGCTATGGTCTCCTGAGTTAAAGTTTAAAATATACTTTACCCTAACACGTCAAGTTTTGGAGGCCATTAGGCACCCTAAGCTTTGTGTATGAATTAAAACAACTACATACTAAGACGATCACATTTCGGACAATTCTCCACTTCAAATAAAATATTGATCAAAAAACACTAGTCTTCCTTCTGACTGCATTCAACATTAGAAAAAAAGGTGTTAAATTTCGTCCCAAATACAGTCAACAGTTCATAAGTATCAAAGAATTTTAATTCACACTCCGAACGACAGAGATTCGCTAATTTCATCGCACAACGTGGGATAGCAACATTCAAGGTGAACCGCCTACGAAGCTCATCTTCATAATTATAAATTCATCACTCGGCTAATCGACCTTCTCACTGTAAAACATGCCCGTTACGAACCACTCAATATCGCGCCTCACGACCAGGGAGAGCATCACTCAATAGCTGCCGACGTAAATCTTATTAACGAAATCGACAATGATCACACCATTCAAGTCACGCATTGCGCAATGGATCGGCACTCGATCACGATCATCAATTATCACCTAACTGTTTGTTCTAGACCCGTTGGCAACCTTCACAAAAGTGGGAAACCTTTCGCTTTCAACGGAATCAAACACACCAATCAATCCATTATTACCGTGAATGCAGAACAGGGCCACAGAGACGATCACTGCCGCGGGAAGTATTCTGGACAGAGCCATCTTTCGATTAACCGACGTTCGTTCGATTTACTTTTGGCGCGCTTATTTCGCTGATTCAAACCGTTCTCACTGCAATCCAAATTCACACTAACCGATCGAGGCAAACTGCTGAAGGGGTTGATCCACGCGATCACGGTTGGTGATCTGCTGTTTTGTTTGCTGGAAGTGATTCAGCCGCCCAGAGCCTGAGTCAGGTTGGTGATCATGGTGGTGGTGGTGGTGATGGTGGTTGTTTGGCGACAGCATCTGCTTTCCTGCTTTTGGGGGTGAATCTCGACGCGACAGCAAAGATCACCGCCACCCGATAGCGGCAGAACCAAGCGTCACAGTGCTATGTGGCTTTGGCGTCATTAGGGGTAGGAGAAATGTGAATTGTTCGTTCAATTTCACTAAAAATTTACCAGTAGATTTACATTAAATGTATTTACAGTTCAATAACTCAAGTTAATCATCGAGATTTTGCAATTTTCTACGATCTGAATTTTTGTGTGCCATCCTCGTACAGATTCTAACAAGTTTTATGGCACAGTCTGACAGAATACGTGCACAGGTTTCGTTATAAATCTTCTGAAATAAGAAGCGAGCGGCAAGAAGCTGCGGGGGCCTTTGCTCGATTATTCTGAATATTAGCAGACTGTCCCTTGTGGAAGCATCTTCAGGTTTTAAGTTCAAGCTTCTCGTAAAGGTCACCCAGAGGAAGGAAGACCGCAAAAGGCTATTTTTATTCATAAGAATTTCCCGGGGGCCAGAACAATGAAACTGCCCACCTAAGATAAATAGATCTCACGGTAGTCGGAGCATTTTCGCGTGATATATTGAGTTCCCGATGGGACTGACTAACAAGATAAATAATGCAGTGAGAAAAAAAAACCTACAAATAGGCAATGCATCACGTTGAACTTCACGTTTTTTGCTTCTTTTAACATGAACAAAGTGGAGAGGAACGTCATGGCATATGTGATGCGATTTTGAGATCAAGCTACCAGTTCCATCTTAGTAGGCGCGTACATATCTGCCGAAGAAGAGCAAAGGTTGCCTTGACATTTAATCGATTGGTTTTGTGTTATGCTGCTGCTGCTGCTGTTGTTGATGACGATGCTGCCGATGATCAGCTTCTGGTTAAACCGGTCAATTTGGTTTTGAATGAATTATTTCTTGTAAATCGATGAATGGTGCTTTTTTTCATTGGATTTTACGATATCTAGTTCTGAGGATGCGTAATGCTGAAATAAACGGAGCCTAAAATAATCTGCTTATACAATTATTGTGCTTGATTTGTTGTTCAAAATTGAAAATCAACTAGAATTTAATATGCTCCAACCGATCTAAAAGAAGACGTTAAGTGAAATCATTTACATTCATTTAGTGCATTCATTTGCCTCTAACTTTTTTCATAAACAGAATTTCGTGAAATTATGTGTGAAACTTTTTTATTAGCTACAACTTTTGCGTAAAACTCAAATCTGTATCTCTTATGCATGGTGAACCAGAGTGAACAGAACCCAGCAATGTTTTTCAGTGAATGTAAATTACATTCTTTGAAAAGTAATAACAAGTTCTGCCCGCTCTAGTTCGTCATGCATAAGAGGTACAGATTTGAGTTACTAATAAAAGTTTTTGTTAATATCAAAATCTACAAAAGCTTCATACTTTTTTTTACGGAATTCTTTTGATGGAAAAAGTAAGAGACAAATGAATGTAATTAATCATTGCCTGGTGATAATATTTGGTCCCTACCCAAAACTTCCAATGTACTTTTCTTCAACATTTCGCTCCGTTTTATAACGGTAAACGCTTTAGAGCAGTTCCACGCCAAATGACCAATCGTTCTGACGCGACCTTCTCCGATTTGCATGAAACGTTGCATCAGCTAGACGCGGACAGTTGCTGAACGCTTCGAATGTGTCGAGCCAACAAGAAAGTGGCCAAAGGTTATCCAAATTCCGGGTTTATTCACTAACCGCCCAACTGCAAAAATTTGAATAATGAATTGTTCATTTTGGAATTAAGTTTCTAAACCGTTTATTTTGTTATTAATATATTAGTGAATGGAGCATCAAAAACAATTTCGTAGTTCTACGTCAACAATGCGGCCGTGCTTTGGACACAACCCTTAACGTTTTTAATCGAGCATTTAAAAAACCTGAACACCCCTCATTTTGTAGGTGTGTGCGTGCAGAATGATGCCGCTATTTCGATTTGGACATTTGCTCTTCCGTTATCAAAATGGCGTCCATTGCAACCGGGATCGTCAAGAAATTTACGGGGTCAAATGTTTGTAAAACGTCTGCTGTCTTTCCTGAAGCAACACAATTATTCCGTGCTGTTTTTGCCAGATTTGGCATCCTGTCATATCGGAAAAAAAAGTCAAGGAGTGGTATACCGACAGCAATGTGCAGGCGGACGAGCTGGGTGTACATAATCTGAGGGTAGGAGTTAAACAATAATTCTGATTTGGTCAACTGGAAGCTCGCGTGATATGAAGGTTTGTCACTCAGCACAGCCAAAAACAAGCTTGGGCACACTTAGGCACAGTCATTGGCACTGTTTGGCACCAATGGTTACAATTTTTCTGATCTTTAAAGTTACTGGCAACACTGAACTTTTTCTGCGCCTGCGCAGTATGCATGTGTCAAAATTGGTTATTGATGTTGCCACAATAAAATCCAATTTTCTCAAACCACAACCGTGAATCTCCACCAAGTCTAGCAGTGCATTCTCCTAAATCGAATTGTCAGCGCACACACTGATGCATGTCCGAAGAAGTAGGTAAACTGGCCACAAAGTAAAAGTTCTAATATTCCACAGGCCGGGTCAGGTTGACCGACTACCATAACCACCCTGATAAAAAATAATAATACCATAACATAATATAAAATCACAACGAAATCTTTTGCCAGCAATTGATCTTATTGTATGTATTCCAACCAAGTAAATTCAAAATATTGTTATTAAAATAGATCTACAATACGTCCCATATAACATGAGTTTTCAACAATAAAAAAAACAATAGAATGAATGAAAAATGGCTCAAGTTTGTTCGGGAAAAAGTGATTTTTTGTATGGTTAAGATACATAACAACCCCCTTGTTCTATTGTAGATATCCCCATTTACCATAGATTCTATTGTGGAATAAATAAATTCTATGGTTATTTTATCGTTGTGGACAGTACAATTTATTTTTAGTACAATCAATTCTATTGCATGGCTACAATATATTTCATTGTACCTCTATCGTTCTTTTTTTTTTCGGGTGATTTAAAGGTTTGTGTGATACTCCGTCGTTAAGTAAATTAACCATAACATTTTTAGTAGGGCATTATCATTAAAATTCTTAGGGTTTTGTTTTCGCTAGCGCTGATTTCATCTGTTTTTCGCATATTTTTTAATTGTACCAAATCAAACAAATATTAGTTATCGCGTTTGGATAAGTGTAAATTAAGATCTATCACGTCTTAAGAAGTTTTTTTAGTGATATTGTAATTAACGTGAAAAATCTGGGACAAGAATTTGTTTCGAGTAACTGTGTTGCTGTGGTGTCGCGTCGGTCGGTTTTTCATTTCGCTTGTTTTTGGTGCTTTGCCTCCCTCTCAAGTAGAGTTCTACCAACAATCAATACGAAACTAACGATTTTAAATTGGCTCACTACTTGACTAGCCTATTGGTCCCAAGCAAACGATTAACGTACCCCATTCTAGTCGAAATTCTAGTACTACGCAATGTTTGTTTTGATTCGCTATGAAAGTTTGACAGATAAAATGAGGGGTTATTGGTTTTTCCTATGTTTCGAGGGGTGAATTGATTAGCTTGGGACCGAAGAGAGTACCAGAGCTGAGCCAAAAAGTTGAGCATGCTATTTCGGGACCTTCTAGTCTTAGAGTTACCTCTATGGTTTTACCGGGTATTTTTTTCTTTTCTTGGTGCTGGCGTTCTGCCTTCCGGAGGATGCACGCGAATGAGGTGTCAAGTAAAAATTCGGTGCAAATGAAAAACATCGAATGTTATTCAAAATGTCGTGTTGGGTTGTAAAAACAACGCGGAAGATTTTTGCGACTACCGCGAGTGAACAAACCGGTCCTTTTTCGGAGACAGAATTTGGTGAGATCCATCTGATTTATAATCAATCATAAATGCATATTTCCATATATTACTAAATACGCGCCAGATTTCGAAACATCACATTTCGAAATCTGGAAGTGTGTTTGCAGTACCATTATTCATATGATAACGGTAGTGTTTACATGCGGGGCTTATTGTATGTGAAAGTAACCTCGGAATGGACGTGAATTACCAGGCATTCTGAAATGGGTTGCTGAATCTGCAGTAGAGTTATCGCTTTCTAACTCCCGGACTAAACTTGCTTTAAATTATTACATCAAGGATTGTTGTAAGCAAATTTATTCCATAATACCACTGCCGGCCAGTGGGGGTTAGATTGAATACACACACACACATTATCATTAAAATTCTTAAACCATGAGTAAAAAGGTTCTAACAACCAGTGGAAACTAACGATTTAAAATTGGCTCACTACTTGACTAGCCTATTGGTCCCAATCAAATCGATTAACGTACCCCATTATGGTCGAAATTCTAGTATAACATTATGTTTGTTTTGATTCGCTATGAAAGTTTGACAGATAAAATGAGGGGTTCGTGGATTTTCCTTTGTTTCGAGGGGTGCATCGATCAGCTTGGGACCGAAGAGAGTACCAGAGCATAAAAGTGCAAACTAAATATAGAATTGGTGTACACGGTAAAAAAAAGTACCCAAAAGTAAGTTCTTTTCACTCAAGTCGCGGCACGCGTATTAATGATAATTTTGTCCTTTTTAGCAAGTAATATTACACCATATTTTCGATATGATTGTAGTGCATCCACTTTGACGTGATATCAAAATTATTTTTTTGCTGTGTACCGTTGACGGGCTTCGTTCTTGGCTCCTCTGGTTCTGGCCTGCTCTATCGCGGCTTTTGCTTCTCTACGCTCCTCAATCTTCCGCCAGGTTTTATCTGTGATCCACTCTTTCCTCTGGGTGCGCAGCTCACCCAAGTTGTTCTCGCTTGTTTCTATAAAGGCATTCTTGATGGCCGTCCATTGTTCTTCTACGCTGCCACCTTCTGGAACGTCCGCAGCTCGAGTCTCAAGTCCTTCAACGGCGTGTGTTGAACCGCCGCCCGAGTCTCTCCTCCCGTCGCTGGATCCGCACCATGCGTAGGCGGATTTCGCCGATTAGAAGGTGATGGTCAGACGCGATGTCGGCGCTGCGTTTATTCCGGACATCAAGAAGGCTCCGTTTCCATTTCCGGCTGATGCAGATGTGGTCGATCTGATAGTCGGTATGTCCTTCACGGGAAACCCACGTGACTTTATACACTGGTCGATGGGGGAAGAGCGAGCCCCCCAAAATTCTGCAAACAGCTCACCGTTCTCGCTCATTTCGCCGAGACCATGGCGTCCCATGACACGCTCATAGTCCGTGTTGTCGGAGCCGATCTTCACATTAAAGTCGCCAGTGTAGATCTTGATGTCACCCTTTGGAACCTTATCCACGACGGCATTCAGTTGACTGTAAAAATTCTCCTTGTCCTGTAGCTCGGCAGCATCGGTTGGCGCATAACATTGGATTATGGTAAGGTTACGAACCCGTGTTCTAAATCTGGCAACGATTATCATCTCATTAACAGGCTCCCACTTGTGAGCGCAGCACTTTCCTGGACGCTAAGTAGGAGACCAACTCCACAATGGCGGGGAGCGTTTTCACCTCGAATACCAGAGTGTAGTCAACAATCAATACGAAACTATCGATTTTAAATTGGCTCACTACTTGACTAGCCTATTGGTCCCAAGCAAATCGACTAACGTACCCCATTCTAGTATAAACTCCAGTACTACACTATGTTCGTTTTGATTCGCTATGAAAGTTTGACAGATAAAATGAGGGGTTAGTGGATTTTCCTATGTTTCGAGGGGTGAATCGATTAGCTTGGGACCGAAGATAGTACCAGAGCTGAGCCAAAAAGTTGAGCTCGTTTCTTCGGGACCTTCTGGTCTTAGAGTTACCTCTATGGTAGTACCTGTCCCGACGGCAGTTTGTGTTCTCCAAAGTTTGGCCAACGAACTTCACTCAGTCCCAGGATTTCTAGCTTCATGCGTCGCGCCTCGTTCGCGAGTTGTGCCAGTTTACCCTGGTGGGCTAACGTCAATACATTCCATGATCCAATTCGTGTCCGTTGAGCTTAATCAAGGTTGCTGAACCTGTTATATACACGAAAGAGTGAAGAAATGTTATTTCTCCTTGCATTTCAACCAATATCGCCATATCAATTTTTAATCAAAAGCGCCAACTCGTATTACACAGCAAAAAAAAATGTAATATCGATCAATGTAATTCAAGCTGATGTATGAAATAATGATGTAATAGCAAAAAGCAGATACAATATTACATCAATGGATGTAATTTTGTTCGCAAAATCGATGTACATCGTACAACGTTATATTACACAACCGATGGATTGACCTGGTTGCAGCAGTGTGGATGTAATATTCAACAACTTTTTTTTCTATGTACATCCGAATGAGCTGAAATTTTTAGAAAATGATTTTCTCACCTAATGACACACATCTAAGGGTTGGCCCTTGACTCGGCTGTTGGAATCTCGACATAAACAATTAACCACAGACAAACAGACATAACACATTGAATATTTCTCATTGTAAAACATCGTCGCTAAAACATTACCGCCATCTGTTGAGTACACTGTCGTGGGTAGTACGCTGAACAGATGGCGGTAATGTGTAAACGTAAAACGCAAGGAAATTGACTATGCGCGCCACATGTGGCAGTACTACCAACTGAGATACTTTTAAATTGACTGTTAAATGCTTGTTCGATGAACAACTTGTTAGTGTTACGTCTGTTTGTCTGTGAATTAACTGTGAATGCCACTAAAAAATAACCACAGTTATTCACATCTGCTAATAGATACGCTATCCGTTTCAACATCACGGTGCATTTCAGCTTGCCCCGGTGTACCTTATACTTATTAATTTGTTACGAATTGAGACAGAATTTGACTTTATTTATCTAAACTGGTTCGAAAATATCCATTTACCGACCCCTCCCCGGAGCATTTACAGAATCCACTTCCAGGATTGGGAGCTCGTTTTGCTGTCACCGCACAAAATCCATCTTCCACTTTTTTATCGTTTAGCATCGTTTCGCTTTTGTTTGAGCCTTTCGTGCAGCTTTCTAGCGTATTCCGTGAACAGAGCCTGTATCTGAATGGAATATTTTTATTGTCTCATATAAGGCAATTTTAATGCTGATCTGTATTGAGAAAAAATTTTATGGATCGGAAATTGATTTTAAATCGCTTGGGCATCCTTAATATAATATGTATCGTTATTTTTCTTAACGTCGTGAATCATGGAAGAGGCTTGAAATCTCGACCAGTTCACGACAAACCATTTGAAGAATAGTTCAAGTGTTTTGGTTATCGTTCTGATACGGTATTTTATTTTAGGGATATAAGCACTCACATCACATACTGGATGACTTATTGGCCTGTTTCAAATGATACGCGAGATATCTCGCTTGATGCGATCGATTTTCGTTTGATTTATCGTTTTGTATGGTTTACAGCCAAAACAACAACAAAAAATCTGTCTAGGAGTTGTTGTTCTCCCGAAAATTTTCAGTAAAATCTGTTTTTAAACCGAATTTTATGTTCTTAAACTATTGTGTCATTCGATGGAAATAGAAAAACTATCATTAGAGTGTGTAATTGGGAGGAATAGAGGTCGAATTCAGTGAATATCAGCTGGATTTCTCTTGGGCTGATGATAACGGGATAGGTTTTTGTTTACGTTGGGATTGCGTTTTATGTAAAAACTCTTAAAATTGAAATAAGTGTTCGGATTTCTCACTTGTGAGCAGAATTTGTATGTTATTGGTGAAGGAGGAAGTTAACGCAACCGAAGGAAGTAATTTCCAGACTGGAAACGATTCAACAGCCACCGTGGCGGCATCGGACGGGACGTTCCTCCAGGTGGTCTCCCTTCAGAATGGCCACACGACAGCGGCAGCGGTGCTGGATATGGACTTTTGTCGACTGTGCCTCGGAGGCGATGGGACCCAGTTGATCAGTGTGTTCGGCGATGAATTCAACGAACCGGGCAAGGAAACGCTGAGCAGTAAGATCCATCGGTTCTTTGAAGTTCAGGTGGGTGAGATGATGGTTTGGGCTGATTGCGAGATTCATGTGGATTTTGTATTGCAGATTAATGAAGCTGATGTTCTTCCGACGCACATTTGCCAGCAGTGTTTGCTGCAGACGGAAAGTTGCGCGGAATTCCGAGAAAATTGTATCCGCAATGATGAGAAACTTAAGCAGCTGGTGTTTGTTCAGGAAAGCGTTCCGGAACCGCCGCAACCACATGTGTTCAAGAGAGAAGAACTGATATTGGAAGATGATTTTGTTGCAGAAGATGTGGGCAATGTGCCGGAGGAGGAGGAGGAATCCGCTGAGACGATTGTCGTTGACCCAACGAAAGATTACGAAAGCTCAAATCAGAGTTTACAGGAGTTATTCTCCGATGAGGAGGATAATGAGGACGGAGCTGGACCGGATGATACAAATGACGAAAGCCTCAAAGTGACAACAAATAATGATTCATCGGAGGATATGGATGATAGCAAGTTGAAAAAGTTGGTTCACATGTGCAAATATTGTGATGTAGCATTCGCCATGTCCAATGCTTGTTACGTTCACGAGACGCAGGATCACGATCTGTTGGCACCGTACGCTTGCCAGTTTTGCGAATTCAAGACAACTATTCGCATCATTCTCATTACGCACATTCGCGACGTGCACGGCATCGATCGGCCGTATATTTGCATTCAGTGCAATAAGGGATTCCACCGGAGATCGGATCTCAAAAAGCATACATTCGTACACAGCGGAGTGAGGCCCTTCGCTTGCCATGAATGCGGGAAGAGCTTCTCGAGAAATACGAATCTGACCAAGCATCTCAGAATCCATTCCGGCTACAAGCCGCATATTTGTAATGTGTGTCCAAGGTAAGTTCTCTGATATGAAATGTGACTACTTTTTGAGTTTTGATTTTTCGTAGATCTTTTGCCAACAAAGCCGATTTGGTTCGGCATCAGAACATACACTTGTCCCTGGGGAAGCAGTTTTCCTGCAGCAAGTGCAATAATACCTACGCTCGGAAGGACAAGCTTCTTAGCCACGAACGAATCTGTTTTGCCAAACACCAGCAACAACAGCAGCAGCAACAAATGGAACTTCAACGGCAAATGGCTCATATCATATCAACCGCCCCGATTGGTACGATGGGCCAGGCCGAGTTTGACGCTGAGAACATGGTCATCGCTTTGGATCCCTATCAAGAAATCGATCAAGTTCCAGCAGAAGACGATCCCGGAATCCCAAATGCTGCTCCCGTTTCGGCCGTCTCCACATTCTCCAACATAACCTTACCCTTGAGCCAATCCCATTCGAGCTCCTCCCCGGCACTTCAGACCAAGCTTTTCTCGTGTCAAAAATGTCCCAAGAAATTCCTGTCGAAAAACACCCTCCACACTCACCAGCTAACCCATTCGGACGTCCGAAACTACCGCTGCCACACGTGCGACAAAAAGTTCATTCGAAAACGGGAACTGGATCGCCATCTAACTGCAGTCCACAGTAATCACAAACCGTTCGAGTGCAAACAGTGCTCGAAGAGATTTTCCCGTAAAGATAAACTGCTTCGCCACGAGCGGGTCCATCGCGAGGACAAGTTCTTCTCGTGCATCGCCTGCGATGCTAAATTTCTGCGCAGGGAAGCACTGACCATCCATTCGAAGATACACTGCACAGCACAGGTGCGGGACGATCCATCCGATGTGATCATAATGATCGATCAAGTGCAGCAGGATCAGCTGATGGAACAGGTAATGGCTTATGCAGCCGACGATGTCGGAATGGAGTCGGTGGCCATGCTCTGAACGACTCCGAGCGAAACAATTCCATGAGTTAGGGCGGTAAGGTAGGTAGAGATCGTGAATGGACTTTTGCTGTGTTTGAGTGATCTGATGAAACATTTTTTTTTTTCAACAAGCAACAAGCGCTAGGTTCACACAATTTTCATAGGATTTTATTCGATATGTCTCCGATCACTGGTGGTCGGCGTTCATGTGACTTGTATTACCTACATGAAATTGAATGGGAAAGGGTTTAATGTCCCTAATGTCGGCCTGAGTGGCCCCTTGTTTGACTTTTTCACAAGCAACTAAAAATATAAAGTTTTTGTCTAGATGACGCATTGTTCTAAGAAAAAATGAAGGACATAAGATATTTTTGTCATGATGTGCGCTATATTTAGTTCCATAGGTCAACATTAGAGCCACTTACCCTGTGTATTTTGATTCAAGATCAATGACATTATTTTGGGAAAATTGTGTGATCGGAGTCTGATTTTCAAGTGATTTTATTCAATTCGCTTCGAATCGCGGTGATTTAAGTTCAAATGATTGGCAAACGTGTGGAAACAGTTGCTCATCTACCAATTTTCAGTTTCATTTAGTTGAACACCGAACCCGACATTATAGACAGTCGTACAACAATACTTGACTTCCTACTCAGTACTCTGTATGATATTTGGTCGGAGTACATAGGGGTCCCTCAAGTGGTATTAGCACTTAAAATAGCAATAGCAAACACACATAAGTCGAAAATTTTACTGATCAAAATAATCTGATAGAGTGCATCATTATTATTTTCTTATTATTATAAATTTTCTCACAAATATGACAACATACGACTTCGTATAGCATTATTAGCCGGTAGTGTTCGTTCGTGGGCATATATAATCATGTAACACAAATATAAGGAACAAAGTGAAACACGTATAATTAGCGTCATTTGATATTCATTTGGTCTCACGTATGTCGTCGTTGTCGTCGATGTAAAATAAATACGCGAATATGAATAAATTATAAGCTGTAGTTGTATCCTTGCAGAATAATTGTACAACCTAAATTAGTGGAAAGAAACGGCCCTGTCTATGCTATTTCTTATTAGCCTTATTAGCCTATGTCGGTGATTTTGGGTGAGAATTTATGAGTTTCTACGTTCTTCGTAATTGACAAGGGAAGAAGGTGCACGAGCCAGGGGATGAAATGTGATTAAACAAATCCTTCATTTTACAGATCAGATGCATTTTACGGCCACAGCTGACGGCAAATTCTGGAGTCAGAGACATTTAGGAAATAAAGATGACAGATCTTTAATTTAAAGTTGAAAGACGGACCCGAATTCAAAAGGCATCTCAAGGGCATCTCAAGAATAGATTCTAAACTATTCTAAGCAGAATTGCAAGTGAATTTTCAGATGCATTTAGAGGAAAACTTCAAAACAATACTGAGAAAAATTCCTATACATTTCAGAAGTGAACTGGATGAGAATTCGAAGGAGAATTTAAGCGAATTGTAATTAAAATTATTGGATGAAACAGCAGTGAATTCCTGGCATAATCATAAACAATAGCATGAATTCCATGAATTTTTTGAAGTGTTCTGCAGAGAATTTCTGGATTGTTATATAGAAATTTATGGTCTCTCAGAAAGAATCTTAAAGTTATTTTAGAAGAATTCTGAAATAAGCGTTGTGAAGGGGAATAAAGGAAATTCTCAAGAACGTTCCAATAAAATCTTATAAAGAGTTCTGAACGAATTTTTAAGATAGTTAAAACTTAGCAAAAATTTGAAGATCGAACGCAGAAACAAATGCACTATTCAGACAAGAGCGGAAAAGACAAAACTCGGTTTTTCGAAGGAAGAAGCGTCAGCAGGAAGACCGAGATCGCGAGACGATGAAAAATCTGTACCGCGTAAACGACACACGGAAGTTCTATGAGAAGCTAAATAGTTCGCGCAAAGGCTACGTGCCGCAAGCCGATATGTGCAAGGACTTGGACGGTAACCTTCTCACGAACGAGTGTGAGGTGATTGAGGGGTGGAAGCAGTACTATGACGAGCACCTCAACGGTGAAGAAGCAGAAAACGAAGGTGGCACGGCAACAGACCTTGGAGCAAGCGCAGCAGACGATAGGCTACCGGCCCCTGATCTTCAATATGTTGACGAGGTGATCGGTCGGCTGAAGAACAACAAAGCAATTGGTGTAGATCAACTACCAAGTGAGCTATTATACGGTGGTGAAGCACTGGCTAGAGCGTTGCACTGGGTAATTGCCAAGATTTTGAGAAGGAGATATTACTGGAGGAGTGGATAGAAGGTGCCGTATGCCCAATCTACAAAAAGGGTGACAAGTTGGATTGCTGCAACTACCGCGCGATCACACTGCTGAGCGCCGCTTACAAGGTACTATTCCAAATACTATGCCGCCGCCTGTCACCTGTCACCATTTGAGAGTTCGTGGGGCAATACCAGACTTGATTCATGGGTGCCCGCGCTACCATGGACCAAATTTTCGCGATTCGGCAGGTTCTGTAGAAATGCCGCGAATATAACGTGCCCACACATCATTTGTTCATCGATTTCAAATCCGCATACGACACAATCGATCGAGATCAGCTATGGCAGATTATGCACGAGTACGGACGATGGATCAGGTGATGTGTGTTGTTCGACTATCGGGGACACTCTCGAGGGGGTTACGGCAAGGTGATGGACTTTCGTGTCTGCTATTCAACATCGCGTTAGAAGGTGTGATCAGAAGAGCTGGTATAGACACGAGTGGCACGATCTTCAGGAAGTCCACCCAGCTTCTTGGCTTTGCCGATGGCATTGACATCATGGCACGGAACTGAGACGATGGCGAAAACGTACATCAGACTGAAGGCTGAAGCTAGGCGGATTGGACTTGCCATCAACGCATCAAAGGCAAAATACATGAAAGAAAGAGGTTCTAGGGAAGACAATGCCTCCCACCACGAGTTCAGATTGACGGTGACGAAATCGAGGTGGTCGATGAGTTCGTGTATTTGAGCTCACTGGTGACCGCCGAAAATGATACCTGCAGAGAAATACAAAGACGCATTATGGCAGGGAATCGTGCCTACTTTGGACTCCGGAGTCACGCTCCGGTCGAATAAAATTCGCCGTCGCAAGAAGTTGACTATCTACAAGACGCTGATTAGACCGGTGGTCATCTACGGCCACGAGACCTAAACTATACTCGTTGAGGACCAACGCGCCCTTGGTGTTTTCGAACGGAAGGTGTTGCGTACCATCTACGGTAGAGTGCAGATGGATGACGGAACGTGGAGGAGGCGAATGAACCACGAATTGCACCAGCTGCTGGGAGAACCATCCATCGTCCACATTGTAAGAATGCCGAACGACGACCCAGTGAAAATGGTTCTCGAAAGCGCCCCAACAGGAACAAGAAGAAGAGGCGCGCAGCGGGCAAGGTGGATCGACCAAGTAGAAGGCGACCTGCGGACCCTTCGCAGACTACGAGCCTGGCAAAGTGTGGCCATTGATCGAGTAGAGTGGAGGCGACTTCTTCGGGCAGCAGAGAACAACAAGGCCTTAGTATGATTGCAAGCAAGTAAGCCATAAAATGAATCCAAGAGTTCCACTTTTTTTTTCGAAAACACGTGCAACTGTAATATTAGAATGAATTTGGGGTCTTAACATAAACATGGACCCGAATGAGTATTAAACCAGACTTCCTACTGAACACACGTCTTTCTCTAGAGGTTATGGGCCCAGTTACGTCCGGCCTCTGAAGTTGAAGCTAATTGATTTGAAGAATCCAGAAGTTCGTTACGGAATTACGGAGAAGACGGGAGTGAAGATGTCAAGCGCGGCGAAAGTAAGAATAGTCCAGTTTGCTGGTGAAGGATACGACGTGTGGAGGTTCCAGGTCGAAACGCAGTTGTCGGCTCACGGCGTGAAGGAAATGATCAAGAAGGATGTACCAGCTGACGAAGCGCAGAGGAAAGCTTTTCAAGAAAAGGACGAAAAGGCAAAGGCTCTTCTAGTTGCGTACATCGCGGATTCTCATCTGGAGTACGTGCGTGACAACATGTTTGCAAGCATCAGAAGAGATGTCACAATCTGCGTTATTTGATTTTCTCCCGGACCAGAAATTAGTGGCATCGCGAGTGATAATTTTTAATTTCAGTTTATTTACTGCTGCGCGTAAAAAGGTGCGTGAAAGAGTTCGGCACAATCGGTGTTGATGTTGACTCGTTTGCAACTTTTTTTTTTTGTGTTTTCGAAAGAAATTGATCGAAAGTGTGCCAAAAGTGCTTCTGAACGTGTTTCGCAGTTGGGAGTGGTGAAATTCGTAAATTCGCGGTTTATGTTCAGTGAAAATTCCGTATCACAAAATTGCTCACCGAGTTCCTTTTTTTTTGCCGTTCGACGACGACGGGCATGCGAGAGAAAAATAAGCATCGGGAATATGCTCCCGGATGTATTGATTTGGTGAGTACGTTCCAGTTGAAGATTGTTCTTATACATATCTCGATTGCATTTTCGAGGGGACGTCCGGAGAGCTTTGAGATTTAGACGTAGCCTTTTGTGGGCAGACGAGTTGGTCGCCGGTAAGGGCCAGTAAGTGCTGCCAGTAGATGAATCAAGAGGTATTCGAAACAAAATTGGTAAAAATGTCCATTCAAATCGATTTAATACAGTTGAATAAATTTCAAAACTATATACGTGCCAGATTTGGAAATAATATTTTTTGAATCTGGAAGTGTGTTTATGATACCATTATCCATTTGATAAAGGTAGAGTGAACATGCGGGGCTTATTGTAAGTAAAAGTGACCTCGGAGTGGTCGTGAATTACCAGGCATTCTGAAATGGGTCACTGGAGCTGCAATAGAGCTAACACCTTCTAACTCCCGGACTAAACCTGCTTTAATTTAAGGGTAATAAAAAGCAGTTTTCTTCCATAATAACACTGCCGGACAGTGGGGGTGAGATTGTACACACACACACACACACACACACACACACACACACACACACACACACACACACACACACACACACACACACACACACACACACACACACACACACACACACACACACACACACACACATACACACACACACACACACACACACACACACACACACACACACACACACACACACACACACACACGCACACGCGCACGCACACACACACACACACACATAAACATGGACCCGAATGACCATGGGACCGTCCTACGGAAGATCCATAATCCTGATTCCAGAGCTCCGTAGTTTTGTCGAACACACTTCGCTGTGATATATGAAAGAATTTAGGGTTGAGACATCAACATGAACCTGGATGGCCATTGGACCATCCTCCAGAAGATCCGGATCATCCGTAAAAGTGAATCATCCATGAAACTGTGAAAAAACCGTGGTTTTTTTTCGAAACTCTTGGAACTGCGATTTATGATTGAATTTAGGGTCGTGACATAAACATGGATCCGGATGGCCATGGGACTATCCTCCAAAAGATCCGGAACATCCGTAAATTTGTTAATCTGTGAAACTGATCCTAGAGCTCTACAGTTCTTTTTTAAACACATGAAACTGAGACATAAGAAACCACTGGACCACTTTTACGGATTTTCCGTTTCTTCCGGAGGATAGTTCTATGACCATCCAGGTCCATGTTTTTGTCACGACCACAAATTCTATCTTATATCACAGTTCCTAAATGTTTAAAAAACACGGAGCTCTAGACTCAGTTTTGTGGATTGACCACTTTTACGGATGTTCCGGATCTGCCGGAGGACCGTTCCGGTGTCTCCAGGATCCATGTATAGAAACCATGAAGGTATTCTAACTAATGTTGAATATTTGTGCTCATTAATGTAGATTATAGATCTTAAGCCATTTGCAAAATCCATAAACAAACTTTAAAAAAACGTGTAACGACTCTTTTCGCATTTTGAAAAAAATATTTCAATTTTCAATGTGTTTTTACAACCAAAATAATCTACAGACCTTAGGAATTCTAGGAATACCTCAATTTTTAAAATTCATCAAGAAATGGCTAAGCTATGCCATTGTAAACTTGCCGTTACACGTTTTTTCGGAGACATCGTATTCGGAGTGTTAAAGACCATCATTGGCATCATCATCGAGCAACACCGAATTGGTACATACCAACCGTGCTCGCGGTTATCAAATTTGCTGAATGAACTGATTACCGTTTATTGTGATTATTGGCGAATGAACGACACTCTCGTTGTTGTTTTCATTACGCTCTGTTTAGATTAAACTTTTTCGGGAATAGTATCAGACGGTGGTACGACTCGAGTGGATGTACCCCCAATACGTTGTGCGGGAGATTTTGAAAAATTGAACTTTGATCGTTGGATAGACCTGTCGATAATCATGACGGATTGCTCACTGTGCCTCTACGTCGGTAGGTTTAAATTGCTTAGAACACGCGTTCTAATAACGAGCTAACCGTTTGACTTTGTTTCTTTCAGAACTTTTCGTCAAATACTACATCTACGCATGGTTGATCGGACTGGGCGTTTGGTTTCTGTTGATTTTAGCCTCGAAAGTGGGAAGCGATGGCAACAAATTTAAATACTACGCCAAGTTCGGCATGATTTACTACGCAACGCAGGCATTCGCGACACTGTTTGCACCGATTTCGCTTTTAAGGCCACGGAATCCCGCCAACGCTGGGTGCGATAGAACCGATTTTTTATTTCTTACGAACGATGATTAGTAATTCCATTATTTTTAGATTCATCTCAGCGGTGGCGTCACGTGCCTCGACCCTGTTGCCCATTACTTGGGAACTGCGAAATGCTCGGATTCTGAAGGAAGCCAAAGGTGCGGTCGTCATGGCGAACCACCAAACGTCAATGGATATTTTGGGTGAGTAGCTTTTGGTTTTTCACCAGTGGGATTCACCGAAAGTAGTTGAATGCATTGGCTAAAGTGCCGTTTATCTAAATCGGCTTTGCTGATAAAAAAAAGGGCAATATTTGGACTGGAATGGCTTAATCGGGGCTCAGTGTGTGACGTGATTGTTGCGCAATTGATATTTGGAATATGTTCGATAAGACAGTGATTTTGTGGGCTTATCTTATTTTTGTTCGTTTCGAGTCGATAATGAGCAGTGCATTCGATAACATTCTGTTGGATGCAGTAGGTAATTGATAATTTGGAAGTTATCATGGTCGTTATGCGCCTTGTAGTCAACGGTGTGTTTTCTTTTTTATCGCAGCTTTTTTGACGTAGAACTACGCCTTTGTCGACTATACTGGGTGAAAATCAAAAAATATGGATGCTGATAAAGTGTTAGCTTTTGAACGCTTGTAACTTTGTGTTGAATCGAAACCTACCTAACTAATAAAAACCAAAGATTTAAGTAAACTAAAGGAGAACAATCTATACAACTCTCTAATAAGGAAAATCCCAAAGGCTTGGTAGTCATCATGGTTTCATTTTTATACCTGTGTTCTTGACTTACCTAGGGGATGAGTACTTAAGGGGTTAGATTTTGATAAGTTCTGCACATTGTAGTCGAAATAAGTATCTGTCATGGATGCCAAAATTAATTTACTGGAATTGAATGGAAGATAACCTTTTTTTGCTGTTTTATTTAAGCATTGTCGGGCAGATCATTGCAGGTCTACTTGAACAATGTCCCCTCTGATACGTTCAACGTTGATGCATGGGTCCCTCAGGGTAGCCTGTGTGGGCCTATCCTATTCAACATTTGCACGTCAGACGTTCCTCCCCTGCTGGGTGGTGGTATCCTGTCAATGTTCGCAGATGACACCTCCATCATCTATGCTGCCTAGAATCGCATATCAGTCCCATATGAAAAACTAACAAACCGAGAAAACAGCGATGAAAGGTGAAATAATTTTAATCGTTTTACAGCCTGTTTCTCATGTTTGTTGTATTATGTTTTTACGTTATACTATGAGAAGTAATGAAAACATACTACTAGGTGAAATAAATTAAAAATTTAATCCATTGTAGAGAAAAATATCGATGGGACTGACATGAGGTTATTTTGTCTATCATGTCACAAAGTAACCGCATATCAGTCCTAGCATGCCTTGACGCGTTTAGTTTGCTATCGGCGTTCGTTGTTTTAATACGGTCGAAAATAAAATCTGTCGCGTTCTTCTCTGTGCAAAAGAAATTATTTCTGGGTTCTTACACAATGTCTGCTTTGAAAATAATAAAAACTTATGGGTACGGTGAAAGTTCCGATGAAGAGTGACCAGGATTTGATCTTGAAGTTAGGGACAGTAAGCGATTTTCGTGTTACGAGCATGAGACTTTGCAACGGTCTTTTTTTCGAATCTTCTCCATTGGTGGTGCAAGAAAGATCCCCAGCAACGATTCAGTGTCAGAAAACCGGTGTTCACCGAGGTACGTTCATGATTCAGACGACAGCTTTTTTTTTAGATGGACGAAGATATCGAGGAGTCAAGCCAAGCTCCGAGAAAAAAGACCAAAACAGCAATCCGGAAGCTCGATATGGTGGAGAAACGGAGTCGTGCTCATGCTGCAATTTTGGAGAATTACCATGGAATGTGCCAAATAGGTCTCCAAAGATGACACCAATTTTTTTGTTTAAACAGGATATGTTCTCACAAAGGCTAATAGCCTTTAATGAAACCTTCACTCCTGTCGGGAAGTACACGCAGACAATTCCTGTTCTGGCATGTGTGTGGACTGAAGCTGTGAGCGGCCGATCGTCTAACGACCTAGCTGGGTGTTTTCATAGGATTATCACCAGATTTAGCGATGTGGAAACGCTTGTTTTGTGGCTGGACAACTGTGAATCCCAAAACAAAAATTGGAATATTTTCCTTCACCTCATCGGGACACACCTTCATGGCTGCAGACAGATTCCACGCCGCAGTTGAAGGTGCAATGAGACGAAACCCACCGGTGACATACCCAGACTTCACAGCTGTGGTTGAAGGCGCAAAAAAAAGTTGAGGTATTGGACATGCTTCCACAGCATTTCTTCCCCAACGTTTTTACTGTTTCCCAGTACGTGCTGAACAAGCTGAGTCCTCGACCATACATCGAGAAAATACGAAAAGTTGTCGTCAAGAGAGGCTGCTTTAATCTATATTAGGGGAAACGCTCCAATAGTTGCGGTACGTTATAAGCGTTAGGTTCCTATAGTTGCGGTGACGATTTGAAAAGCTGTAAGATATTAACAGCCAAGCAGGAAAAAGTGGTTTCAGTGGAGCACTTCAACCTGGAGGAACATTTGATAAAGAGAAGCCAACCCAGAGGAATTGACCTGGACAGAAAAGCTGCATTGCTGAAAACTATTTTGCCATTGGTAGAGGAAGGAAAAAAAAACAGTTTTGGGAAGAGTTAATCAAAGCCCATGGAAAACAGGCTGGTTATTTTTTTTATCGCTTTAATATGCCATTATTATTTTTCCATTATTTTCATTCAATATTATGTATAAAACAGCACGAAAATAAGAATTCATACTAAAAATACTTGCTAAATGCCTTTGGTTGTTGTTTTTTAATACATTTGTCATAATGGAACTGATATGCGATTACTTTTAAGCGGGTGCCTTCCATTCATTTTGACTAAAAAAATGTTTTATGAAATTATGGAATAATAAGATATTTTGATGATATTTTGTATGTGTAAATAATAAGAAAACATTGTAAAGTTTGTGTTTGATACATCAAACCTGCAAATTTAGCTTTGACAGTCAGAATCACAATGAGCGTTTTTCTGATCGCCTCTTCGCGAAGAGTGAAGAGCGAAGAGTGGGTGAGATAAATTACAAAATGGCTTATTGCGACTCTCATGTAGCAAAATTGGCAGGTATTATGTGTCAAACACAAACTTAACAATCTCTTCTTGTTGTTTACACAATCAAAATAATTTCATAATATCTTATTATTCCATAATTTCTTAAAACATTTTTTTAGTCAAAATGAATGGAAGGCACCCTGCAAGATGGGACAAACAGACCTCATCTTTTTTTTTCCTTTTATTTCAGAACAAACAACTCGATTTTATACTATGTAGATGAAGCATATTAAAAATTAGGCCCATTCCACACTCGAATTCACCTCGGCTTGTTCCATCTGTTAACGTCAAGATCCATCTTGATAGCATTCCTATTGAATGGTCGAGTGAAGTAGTCTACCTTGGTCTCATCCTCGATAGGAAATTGCTATTCCGATCCCATGTGGACAAGACATCCACCAAGTGTAACTAACATCATGATCAGGTCGCTCTACCCTCTGATAGTTCACCATGTCCCTTAAAAACAAGCTTGCTGTCCACAAGCAAATCATCCTGCCGGCTATTGAGTATGGTATGCCAATCTGGGAGAGTTGAGGTAAGTGCCGCCACGTAAAGCTTCAGAGGATCCAAAACAAGATCCTCAGAATGATCCTTAACAGTCCATCGCGAACACGTAATTCTGAGATTCACTACCTGGCCGGTCTTCAAACACTCGAGGAGCGAAAGGTTCAGAGTTGCCTGTCTGCGATCAAACCACCAGATCATTCGTGATTTGGCAACCTACCCAAGTAACAATTCAGCAGCTACTTGGCATCCACTCTGGTTTTATAATGGAAATAAACAATCCATTTAGTTTAAATACAGCATTTCAAAGTGTAAAACATTCCTGGTTAGTAATTCAGCTTATTACTGTTTTAAAGACCTTTTATAGTCTGTTGAGAAAGTTGTTTAAAAAATAAATTTGAAGCAGCTCTTAATAACTCCATAAAACTGTTATGTAAATCAATCATAAACTTCATTAGCTATTGTTTATTAATGCCTTGATAAAATACTCTATAAAGTTGTTCTGTCATTATAAAAGTAACCATAAAACAATTCGGTTTTAAATGAGAGCAAAAAGCATATATTGTTGTTGTTTAGACTTTTTAAAGTGTACCATAAAATCCCCTATTACTATGTTTCCAAATTGAACTCAAAAGTTGGATCCTCATAGTGAATAAAAGTAATATTTATGACAAAGAAATCTCGAAGAGTAGACGAAGTAGGATGACAAATTCAAGCGATGTTAACGATCGAAGGGAAGTCAATTTCAGCAACGACTGAGCATCTGGTTCATCTTGCATCACGTTCTGACCGGTGTCGACCGTCTCCTTTATGAAGCAGTCTAAAACCAGACCTTCTCCAGATCGGACGAACGAAATAATTTGCATTTGTACCTACAGCAAACCGCTGGTTTCCGATTTATAGCAGTAATTTTATTCAGCGAAAGGTTCAAAATTTCATGCAAACGTACTTAATTTCAACTGCATCGTTTGATGGTGCACTTCGGGAATCATCCGGAAAAGGGAATATTTTACGGGAACGTTTGAGCTTCCAGTTGTTGCGATATATGCGAAATGTTGTCAAACAGTTCCGCACACTTTCTTAATAACTGATTCCAATTCAGCGGGAGAAAATCCCCTGGAAGAACGCAATGATCGAACAACGCAACTATCGAAAGATAAACAAACTTTGACGTTTAACTCTTTGCAGGCAACTTTGCCTCCATAAATGCTGCCATAAATATGAACAGGATAGGATCAAGCAAAATGGCTTTAGATAAATACAATTTAGTCAGGAAGTTTTCTTCATAAAAGCTATTTTAAAACCTTATGAATTTGTGAGGGATTTCATTAAAGCAAAACAACTTTTTCACAAATGGCCATGTTACAATTATTTAGTTTGATTTTCACAAACTTCGTTTTCAATGTGTATTTCCATGGATATAACTTTATTTTGGTCAATTTAGGAATGAGCAGATATTTGAAATACGATAATCATAAAACATATCTCGGCTGAGCTTAATGATCAATCTGAAGAAAAATAAATTTTTCTTCTCGATTAAAAATAATAAGTCAGATCAACGTTTTCCGACGGCGGACTTATTTTATTCGATGTTTTCAAGTACATTTCACATAAATAGGATTTAATATGGCACCTACAACTTGGCCACTTTATGAGAACAATTTTAATAATTTTGGAAATTGAATAGGCTTTTTATATGATCAGTTTATATTTCAATTATATTGTTAAGATCGGTTGGTAGTTTTGAATCTTTTTCTATCTTCATTGATGTTTTTTTTCTTGTGGATTAAGCAAGAGGCTAGGGAAAATGGCTTTAAAAAGGTTTTTATTGTTATCAAATAGCTTTTATTGTAGCTTAAATAAGGGTTTCAAATGGTTCTTAATACGTTCGTCATACAACCTTTTGGCAGTAATTCAATCTCGAAGAGCTAGGAAAATATACCCTTCAGAACCTTCTCCAGGATGGTCCAACTAGACAGATTCTAGTCTTAATGAGGTTTTGGTCGATTCATCAATGGCAAAGTAGCCTTGACCAGGGTTTTATGAATGTTGTTTTATAGTAGCTTTGTATTACTTTATTAAACTTAAAATGTTACTTGGGTAGTTTAAGTAGTTAGGTATATAGTCGCCTATATTCATAGTCTGGCGGATATAGTTTCTATCTATCAAAAAGCGTAACCAATTCAATACATTTTAGACCAACAATTGAAAAGGTACTATCAGCTTTTATAAACAAAACCTTGAGTATTCTCTCCTCGCCAATCAAACGCATATTACCGGCATAATCGAATAGGGTGAAACTTCTTTATTAAAAAAATATTGGTGTGCAGTACATTTGGTATCCTTTTTGATTGATTTGCCGGATGGGCTTTTCAGCTCTAGTTATCCAATGGGTTTTGTTTTAAAATTAAGTGTCTGTAAATTAATGTACATTTTCCCCCGAAGTGGGGTGTGGTGATTTTATAATTGATTAATTTGATAACCTACCTAACTACAATTTACATAACTATCATTACTGTACCAGCTCCTGAATAGCCGGTTGAACTGAGGCTCGCTCTCTGAACCGTTTGATAGATCCACTAAACCTGTTTTCCAGAATCTCCATTCCAGCCAGACGATGAACCTCAGATGTTCGCACCCTGGTCGACTAGTTCAGGATCATTTTTAAAATCTTATTTTGGGCCCGTTGTAGTTTTAAGTGATGATTTTTTGCGCAACTCTTCCAGATAGACATGCCGTACTCCATCATTGGGAGGATGATTTGTCTGTAGACAGCAATCTTGTTCTTCAGGGACAGGCTAGGTCTACGATTTATGAGCGGGTACAGGGGTCTGATCATGCCGTTACAGTTAACGACAGTTTTGTTAACTTGCTCCCTGAAGATAAGCTTGCTGCTGAGGCCCATTCCACCATTGTGCCGTTTAACTTGATTTTGACATCCTCAGCCGGAACAATTCTTGGTGATTTAGAGTGGGGGAATAGTATGGTCTGGGTCTTCGCCGCGATGACACAAATCTTCCAGCTGGTGAAGTAATCTGTTAGGGCATCCAGGCCCCTTTGGAGTTTCGCTACTAGCGCTCTGATCACTCTACCTTGGTAGATGATCGCGGTGTCGTCTGCGAACAGAGACAGAATTCCGCCTTCTGGAAGTGCAGGCATATTGGAGGTGTACAGATTGAACAGCAGGGGTCCCAGGATAGTACCTTGGGGAACGCCTGCAGCGATGTTGTGGGCGTCGGATGTAGCTCCTTTCAAGGAAACCTGGAATGTTCTAGCCGACAAATAATTTTGTCTGTGATCTCCATCACCTCAGAGAAATCGTTGGGAGATTGATGAAGGTTGTTGACAATATCTTCATGGGGACTGACAATGTATTGTCCTAGATTATGCGAGCTGACGAAATTTCGACCTATCTCGGTAGCCTTCTCTGCAGAAGTTATCAAACGATCCACAGAGTTATCGTCTAGTGAAATCAACGGTGGAATGGGCCTAGGTTTGGGTTTTCAGATTTTTGCAAACTTCCAAAATGGCTTAGCACAATCTGGGAGAGCGCGGATCTAATTGGCAAAATCCTCATTTCTGAGGTTCACCATTCTGGTTTGGATGATTTTAGTGAGGCGATTATAATTTGTTTTATAAAGGGTGATACGGTCAAAATTTGGTCAAGGGAAAACGCATGTAAATCGGTGAAATCGTTTATTTAAAAAATCAAATTAATTTTTTTTTTCAAGTTCAATTAGTATAAAATTCAGGAAAAATATTCAGTTAGGCTTCCGCTTTTCCAAATCCGAATTGCCGGGCCTTACGCTTGACCCCTGCCATCAGATTTTGTACAGCCACCTTGTCCACCTTCTTCGCCGCAGAAAGCCAGTTTGCCTTGAACTGCTGCTCGCCCTTAGCAGTTTTTTGGTCTTCTTTAGGTTCCGCTTGACAATAGCCCAGTATTTCTCAATTGGGCGGAGCTCTGGCGTGTTGGGAGGGTTCTTGTCCTTGGGAACCACCTGCACGTTGTTGGCGGCGTACCACTCCATGGCCTTTTTACCGTAATGGCAAGATGCCAAATCCGGCCAAAACAGTACGGAACAACCGTGTTTCTTCAGGAAAGGCAGCAGACGTTTATTCAAACACTCTTTCACGTAAATTTCTTGGTTGACAGTCCCGGAAGCTATGAAAATGCTGCTTTTCAAGCCACAGGTACAGATGGCTTGCCAAACCAGATATTTCTTTGCGAACTTTGACAGTTTCATGTGCTTGAAAACATCTGCTACCTTTCCCCTTCCTTTTGCCGTATAAAACTCCTGTCCCGGAAGCTGCTTGTAGTCGGCTTTGACGTAGGTTTCGTCGTCCATTACCACGCAGTCAAACTTCGTCAGCATCGTCGTGTACAGCCTCCGGGATCGCGCTTTGGCCGTCGTATTTTGTTTATCATCGCGATTTGGAGTCACTACCTTATTGTAAGTCGATAGTCCGGCTCGTTTTTTGGCTCGATGCACGGTTGTAGACGATACACCCAGCTTATTTGCGGCATCTCGGAGAGAGAGGTTAGGGTTTCGCTTGAAACTATCGGAAACTCTCTTTGTCGTCTCAGCGGCTTCCGGTTTTCGATTTCCCCCCGATCCAGACTTCCTGGCTGTCGACAAACGTTCCCCAAACACTTTAATTACATTTGTAACGGTTGATTTGGCAACTTTTAGCGATTTTGCCAACTTTGCGTGCGAGTAGCTCGGATTTTCGCGATGCGCGAGCAAAATTTTGATACGCTGCTCTTCTTGCTTGGACGGCATTTTGACAACTGAAGAGTGAATTCCAAAATCAAAATAGGAGCAACATTCTACACACACACACCTTCAAAATGAGGGATGTTCAGGTTTTTTAAATGCAAAATTGAAAGAAACACGTCAAGTTGATATTGACCAAATTTTGACCGTATCACCCTTTAAACAGGCAGACCAGAACGTTGGTACTGGTACCGAAATAGAAACGGTGACGTCAATAGCAGGATGTGGAGTATCGATTTCTACGAGCGATTCAGCCGCTTCGGATACGCAACAGCTTGATAACGCTGAGTCATTCATGAGTACTAAATCGAGAATCCGTGAACTGGAGTTCTTCACAGTATTGATTTGTGTCAGACCCTGGAAGCAGAAGGCATCGTACAATGCACAACTAGCATTCGTTAATCTCGATGTATGGGAATCTATTGTGAGGCCACCATCCTCTGATGGTACCCAGTGCATTTCAGGATGATTATAGTCTCCAAACTGGAAAGCAAGGTCATGAGGCCTCAAGCCGGAAAGGATTGAATCAATGGAGTCAGTATGCTGCTGTATGAGCGACAGGTCGTCTCTGCAATCAGGTGGTAGATAAAGCACTCCAATGCTGACATCATAGTTCTGCAGTTTGATTTTGATCCAAAGCTGCTCGAGAGCATTACTTATCGGAGCTGGATCAATACAGCAACACAATTTAGAGGAAACGGCTATCAATACACCTCCACCACGAGTTTTTCGACTGTTCCAAGAGCTACGATCTGTCCTGAACACAGTGTAAGATTCGTCGAATAATTGAGTAGACAAGATGCAATCGTTCAGCCAAGTCTCAGTTAGCACGATAACATCATATTCCGAGTCAGTTGTAGCTAAGAAGAAAGAATCTATCTTTGTCCGAAGTCCTCGTGCATTCTGATAGTAAATGCGTAGCTCGGAAGTCGTTGAGGAAGGATTGTCACAAACTGTCCGTTCCTCGGCAGAATGCAATGAATTTGAGTGGGTGTTGCGCTGAAATCCAAATGTTGATCACGAGGAGAATCACCGAGAAAGCACGCATACTTGCCTGAAAAGCCAGGATGGGAGACCCTCGCCCTATCTCCGACCACAGGGCCGGAACGACTTGGACGGCAGGATACCACAGATGACTGGCAGGAAACGGCGATTGGCTCGACTGGGTCAGAGTGAACGAGGGCTCCCAAGATACCTCAGAACATCCCGGTGGCACCGATTGGGATTGAAAACAGGCCTGTTGAGATGAGAGATAATCACGCTTACCACTACACCACAGGCGCTGCTCTCGAAATACTCCAGCAAATAAGCTTGTAATTTCTTTCTCAGATTTTTTAGAATTGTACCCTCGACTCCCTTGGCATTCAGCTCAGAATTCCCTTGGAACACCAGTACTGAATTAAGTGTTCGGAAAACCATTATGTAATCTCATTTATTGAACACTCTTGAGCGTACGATTTTGCAAAACAAATCTCACGCTTGAGATTCACTGGAGGTTAAATCCACAAGGGATGCTCGTGATTAACTGATTCATCGATTTCCATACATATTTTAGACAATGCTTGACGTTCACCAATTTTTCACAAGTATTAGTTGAAAATCATTAGTTTACCCTATTGCAAATTCCGTTCGATTGATTTAAAAATATTAAAAATATATCATGAAATAGCCGAGTTATAATCGTTTAAAACCTGACCACTATCTAGAAAACAAAGACGTCAAAGAAAACCATATCATGACTCATCTGCTGACATTAATTCCCCACAGGTCTGGAAATACTGTGGAGCATCATGGGCGATGTGATCTCCATCGCCAAAAAGGAGATGCTCTTCATCCTTCCGTTCGGTCCCGCAGCCTGGCTCGCCGGTATCACCTTCATCAATCGCCAGAACCGCCCCTCGGCCATGAAGACTCTGGAGGCCTGCAAGCGTAAGATGGTGGAGAAAGGATTTAAAATGTATCTCTACCCGGAGGGCACCCGGTATCCCGAACGGGGAATGCTTCCCTTCAAAAAGGGTGGCTTCCACACGGCCATCCAAGCAGGCGTCCCAATTATTCCAGTCGTCTTCTCACACATGTACTTCATCGAAGCCAAAAAGTACATCTTTAAGCCGGGACACGTGCTCATGAATGTACTGGAACCGATTCCGACCACGGGCCTGACCAAGGACAACCTGGATGAGCTGATAAAGCGGACGAGGGATGCCATGTTGGCGGAGTACGAGAGGCTTTCGGCTGAGATGGAGGCCAACCTTGTCGATCCGAAGTGGGTGCGAACGAGCCGACCACGGTTTGTTGTGTATGATGATGATAAAAAGACTAATTAGTTGATCCGTTGATTAGACGGTCGAGTGAAAAGTTTAGTTAAACCATTTAAGAGTTTGCTTTATTTCTTATCACCGTTCACCATTGTTTCGGTTGAATAAATGCGCTTATCGTCGTTCATTGAAACGGTACTTTTTATTTTAGATAAATAAATCGAAGGGGTACCGTATAGTGCCATAATTCTGCGCACCTAAGGAAGTTTTGAAAATTTGATTCTACTATTATTGTATCATTTTCACATTCACTAATTCACTTACACTATCACTTTAAAAAAAAAAAACTATAACAGATACGTATTTCGTTTACTACTTGGAAACTTCTTCAGTGACTAGCCATAGATTTTTTTTTAAAGTGATTGTGAAAGTAAATACTAAAAGTAAATTAGTGAAAGTGATACAATAGTAGTAGAATTAAAAGGAAAAACAACGTAATATGGTATACAATTATTCTATTAAAACGCTCAATAATCAATTAGGAATAAATTGTATATAATTTAAATAGAATACAACATATAGGGAGGTGCAAAATTTTGGCGAAATGCGTGGAATTAGGCGCTGGGTAGAATTATGGCGCTTTACGGTACCTAAGTACGGAACCTTGTAATCTAAATCGTCCGTGACAATGGTTTATCTACCTGTTAACCAGGTGTTAAATATATCAAAGTCAGCTAAATCTTATTCCGATTAGCATTTATTTTAGTTTACTAGCAGCCGTCTGACCGGCCGTCCTTGATTTATTGACTAAAGCTTTTGTATTTATTCTTCTTGGAAGTGTATGCCCAATCGCATACCTAACCTATCTATACAAAATAAAGTAGCCGAAAATAAATTTTATCGAGTGCTTATCAGAATTATGATAAGGTTGCGTTGAAGGAATATCGTCCGAGAAGCATAAGTCAATAAGCATAAAGTTTTTTTTTATTGTTATTGTTAGTGATAAATATGTAACAAGCCTAGAACGAGGCTGTGTCGCTCTGTGCCAGGGTTTAATCCTTTCATGCCCAGACGGGGTTTCGTTGTTTTGCATTGCGTTTGTAACGGAGTAATTCGTTAATTGCATACTGGCAATTGTCATGTATCTACTTTAACGATCTTAATCTAATTGCTTAATGAAAACTATTTGGGAGTGGATATCTCTGAAATGCAAATTCTCCATTGCAGACGTTAGCGGCGGTAATCGGTTCACAACCCTGCTCATGGGCTGCTAATTTTATGAATCAATAAATACTTTACGTTGAAATCAGATCACATTTCAAATACAGTTAAGTCTCATTCTCGTCAACACGATATTCTTCCTAACTCGGTGGAAATCTAGGCCACTTCAATCACATTTACCATGCAAAATTCCAAAATCTACCACCGTAACTTGAAATTCTTTCCTAACTCGTAGATCGCAAAGATCTATTTGAAACGAATTTACTGTAATAAACTTTACCTTTATTTCGATCTCTCGTTTTCTTCGTCTTTCGCTCTCTTTCTCTCTCTAATTTCATATTTACTCAAGCTGCATACATCACCAGAAAGATGCTGATTGCGATAGATCAATATGTGAGCGTAAGTCCATATGCAACAATAAGTACTTTTGTCTCGGGGTTCTGCCCAATAACCCAAATTTGAGTAAATCGCATAAAAGTACAATTTGTGGTAGGGGAAATGACGGCTTCGCATGACAGACTATTTTCGGCAACCCAAATTGAAACACTATTTTCACTGGATTTTCTTAGGAAAACACTTCGTTGAATGCATGCAAACGATTCTTTACGCTTTCAGCTTCAATTTGACTATATTTTTACCACTGAGAAAAAGCAATCTAGCAAGGTTTTCTTGAAATGAAACACACGCACTACAAATTGTAGCTGATTTCGAGTTGCCGATAATAGAACAGCAGATTTACATGCAGTTCAAATGGAACGGTTGCCGAAGAAAAACTGGTTGCCGACAATACTCGCTCTCACTAGAGAAGATTGGAGCTTTGTAAAAGCGTTTCAAAACAGTTTTTGACAATTCTTTCGACTGAAATTGTTAGAGCAGCTGGCAGCAACATATTGTAAACAAACCAATACTGCATATGTGTGCGTTCCATAGAGAAAAAGGCTATAGAAAGAAGGTCACTGCTTAGGTTGCCGAGAATACGTAAATTCCCCTACTAGCTTAAAGCAGTACAACCCACCGGTGGAAACTAACGATTTTAAATTGGCTCACTACTTGACTTGCCTATTGGTCCCAAGCAAATCGATTGACGTACCCCATTATAGTCGAAATTCTAGTACTACACTATGTTTGTTTTGATTCGCTATGAAAGTTTGACAGATAAAATGAGGGGTGTATCGATTAGCTTGGGACCGAAGATAGTACCAGAGGTGAGCCAAAAAGTTGAGCACGTTTCTTCGGGACCTTCTGGTCTTAGAGTTACCTCTATGGTACAACAGTGTACTTTGTACAAGGTCTTAGGGAACCCCATAGAGGCTCAGGGATAAGTTAAACGTATTGGGAAGAAGCGCAGAGAGCTTTATTAGAATCCATGGAATTTAATTAAAGAAACTTTGTAAAAGTACAGGAACCTTCGCCGTGATGGCATAATCGTTGGCTAATTGATATTTTTCCCCTTTCATACGCTCTCAATATCACGCGTGATGTTAAAGCAAAATAGCATGCTTGATATTGATTTTACAAGCTCCTTTGATATTGCGAGACTATTCACAACGTGTAAAGCTGAAGTTGAGAGTTGAATCGGCGCAAAATGATTCCGTTGCACATCGTTTTCTTATAAAGAGAAGGTACAATGATGCTATCTCTTTTTTCTCTTCACCGATGGCAGACATGAAGTGAAAGTACGGTAAAAAGTAAGTAAGTAAGTAAAAATCATAAAACTCAATCTCACCACATTTTGGTGAAATTTACGGTGGATTTGATATTTCGAGCTGCGATATCACAACTTGCAATATCAACCGCAGTGTTTGCTTATTGATTTTTCTCCACGAAAATCAAACGATCTTGTTCTATGGTGAGATGTGATTTTTTGATATTTTCCCTACACTGAACCTTAGATGGATTTTCAATATGTGTTCAATAAAGTTCTCTGAATGTTTTTCAGTTTTCATTATTCTGAACATCAGATACACTTCTTCGCAGAATTCCAAATGTTTTAAAAATTAAGGTATACCTTCAAAACGAATGAAGAGATTCAACCTTGATATGAGACGTTTGCGTGTATCAAATAAATAACTAATAAAAGATGAAAGCCAATCATCAGCGGTGAACAGGCATTTAGTTAAGAAGTTCATATTCGCATCAGAGTGTATTTTAGAAAGTCTGGATACCAAATCCTCCATGTAAAGTCTGGAACGCGCAAAAATTGGTCAACTTCAAATTGGTGTATTTCTGTTAAAATGGCATAAATAAAACCTGAAATGCGGCATTTGGAAGTTGAGTGTATATTCAATGGCTGCTATGATGAGATTTCACCGTTTGCTCTCCAGTTTTCAAAATGACGTCCAAGCAAGAAGAGCAGCGTGTCAAAATTTTGCTCGCGTAGCAAGAGAATCCGACGTTCTCACACGCCAAGTTGGCAAAATTGCTGGATGTGACCAAATAGACCGTGACAAACGTTTTAAAAGTGTTCGGGGAGCGTCTGTCGACCGCCAGGAAGCCTGGAAGCGGTGACAATCGTAATTCGGACGTGGCAGCGACGACGAAGAAGGTGGCGGTGAAATATAAGCGGAATCCTAACCTCTCCATCCGGGACGTCACTGGCAAGCTCAATGTCTCCCATACTACTGTGCAGCGGGCCAAGAAACGAGCCGGGTTGTAGACGTTTAAGAAGATGAAGGCTGTATACGAATCTGCTCACAAAGTTCGACTGTGTCGTCATGGACGACGAAACATATGTGAAGGCGGATTTCAAGCAGCTTCCGGGACAGTAGTTTTATACCCCATCAGGAAAAGGGAAGTTGGCTGAAATTTTCAAAACCATCAAACTATCGAAGTTCCCGAAAAAAAATATCTCGTCTGGCAGGCCACATGCACGTGTGATCTAAAAAGCGGCATTTTCATTACTACGGGAACCATCAATCAAGAGATCTACGTCCAGGAGTGCCTGGAAAAGCGGCTGCTACCATTCCTAAAGCAACATAATAGACCCGTGCTGTTCTGGCCGGACTTGGCGAGCTGCCACTATGGGAAAAAGGCAATCGAGTGGTACGATGCGAACAACGTGGTTGTGGTACCCAAAGACCACAACCCTCCCAACAGCCCAGAACTCCGCCGTATTGAACGGTATTGGGCCTTGGTCAAACGGAATCTAAAAAAAAAAACTAATTAATCCATGGAAAACGAGCAGCAGTTTAAATCTAACTGGCATTCGGCGGCGAATAAGGTCGATGAGACCACTGTGAAAAATTCAATGGAAGGGGTTAAGCTCGGGGTTAAGCGGAAGGCACGGCAGTTCGGATTTGGCAAACCAAAAGAATAAACGAACATTTTTTCCTTTAAATATATGAATTGAACTACCAAAAGAAAAATAAGAAAATTTTTGTGCTATGAATTTTGACTGAAAGAAACGATTTTTTTGTCGACCAATTTTTGCGCATTCCAGTCTTTAATGCAACAATAGATTGCTCCGGTATTTATTTTTTAAATTCTCCAGGGGAGGGCCATGCCCCATCCATCCATATTTCCGCCAATGGCTACAACCCTGCCGAATCAAAACGAACTTTAATTCTACGCTCTGGACAGTTCCTGCTGATCCGTCTGCATCCACGTTGCTCTTTAGATTCATCACCACAGTCAATGTCTAGTTGCTTAATAGGATCGGTTGCCGCTTTTCGATTATGCGGTCTACCTCAACCATCAAGCTTCCAATCAGCGGTGCGCGGTGGCGATCTGCACTGGTACCGATTTAATGCATATTCTTTGCCTTATTTTAGTGCTGCTCTGAAGCATTTGTTTTTGTTTAGTTATTAACTACCCAATTTCCAACTGGGTAAACCGCAGTTAAGCCCCTCGGCACTAGCCATGTGCTTGTATTTCGTATGTGCTCGTGTGGCATATCTACAGCATTTACCGTAGAATGGGATGTACTGGTTTCGGGTGATCTTTTCAAATTGGGGTAGAGGATGTGAAATTTTTGGTTCGATTAGAAGACCTCGTTTTACATTTATTGATAGCTGCGTGAACTCGGAGAATCAATCTGATGTTCTCCCAACCCATACATTGATCGCTACGTGTAACGGTAATGGTTTTGCGCTCGTAGACGGCTCGGCATGTTGGCAATGATGTGCGATGAATGGGTTAACGGAAAGGGGAACGGACGGACGGACGGTTGCACGGTATTCTACGCTATGGCAATGGAGAATCGTACGCTGTTCATACGCAGTTTCAGTCGCGATTCAACCGTTGCACGAGGTAGATCGTTTTCTTGATTCTCATTGCCGTGCCAAGATTCTTAATGGTGACAGAAACGTGTGATTTCATTTATCCTAATACCCACTCACACACACACACACACACACAGGAGTCGGAGTATCATGAGGGAACGATAGCTTAGTGAGAAGTTGAAGTTCAAGAGCTGAGAGTGAGCCACAGTGCGCTCGCGTGAAAATCTGTCATACGACAGTGACGACGACGGTGACGGTGGTTTCAATCTGAAAGGAAATAGGAAAAAAAGGAAGCGTGAGAGAATGTGATTTTTTTATGCGCGGTGAAGGAGAGCAAAATCATACGCAGAGAGCGGATGTGACAAGCCTAGTCGAGTGCCAAAACACGATGATATTTTGCAGAAGTTATACATCGTCGCGAAGTGCGTGCTTTCTTGACATGATTTTCATGTATTAAAAAGTGCTGTGAAAGTTCTATTTAGTGGAATCGATAGAATGAAATCAGTGTTCAGTTAACAGGAAAGAAGTGCAGATATAGAGATCACTGATAGAATACTAATTAGATTATTACAAGATTTCGAGAGAAAATCGATGAAACACTAGGTCAATGTGAGGCGAATATAAAACAAATCAAAAGCAATACAAGCAGTATAAGAGCATCATTTAAGATTGACAGTTACTGCAGTGCCAGAGAATTGCGATTCTAAAACAAGGCCATATCTATCGAAGTATCGTTGTTATACATCACGCAAGTGGTTCGAACGCCACTTGTATAGACCGACACGAAACCGCACGGCACGGCGATGGAGGCAATAATTAGTGCAATAAAGGTAAATACTTAATAATGCTACTGCAGACCACGCAGATGATGGGTATTATAGTATGTGCGGTATGGACGGGGGAAGACAGCAGGTTAACCTCCCCTGGAGGGTTTGACGGACGAATTGTGTACTGTAGGATGTAGAGTGCAGAAATGTGTTGAAACCAGTCAGTGCTTCGCTGAGGGCACCCTGACCACCACCGACAGGACTGTCACTGTGTGATGATAAATTATTGCTCACAAGGGAACGGAACGAAACGGTCACCGCAACAACAATGGGGGAAGGAGCGTTATATGGGGGATGCGGCCGCGTCTGGATCGGCAATTGAAGCCGGAGACCCTTTTATGGCCGGTGATTTGTGGAAGGGCACATGTGCAACCGAATTTGTGATTCATATTCTTGAATTATTGACGAAGAGTTATTGAGAATGAAATGTTTCGCTGGTTAGGTTATCTATAGAGCAGTTCCACGCCAAATGACGAATCGGAAAAACTCGACCTGCTCCGATTTGCATCAAACTTTGCATAATTATTTTCTATGAGTAATGATTCACTTTTTATAGAAAAAATAATTGTTGTTGTTGTTTATTTAAGACTTTTTACATCCAGCGGATGCATTCGTGTCTGTTTCAGTGTTTGAGTGTAATAGCATAGAGTTACCTCTATGCTATTACAGACTAGAAGGTCTCGAAGAAACGTGCTCTACTTTTTGGCTCAGCTCTGGTACTATCTTCGGTCCCAAGCTAATCGATGCACCTCTCGAAGCATAGGAAAATCCACGAACCCCTAATTTTATCTGTCAAACTTTCATAGCGAATCAAAACAAACATAGTGTAGTACTAGAATTTCGACTAGAATGAGGTACGTTAACCGATTTGCTTGGGACCAATAGGCTAGTCAAGTAATTACTTCTCCCTTCTTTAGACCTCCTTCGTAATTTTCTTGCTTCGCTTTGAATCCGTGTCTTCTTCTTGCCTTTTGCGGACATTCTTCTGGTTCGCCTTCTTCATTCGCATCTTTACCTTTTTACATTGATTTCGCTCAGTTACATCATAGAGGTAACTCTAAGACTAGTAGGTCCCGAAGTAACGAGTTCAACTTTTTGGCTCAGCTCTAGTACTATCTTCGGTCCCAAGCTAATCGAGGCACCCCTCGAATCATAGGAAAATCCACGAACCCCTCATTTTATCTGTCATACTTTCATAGCGAATCAAAACAAACATAGTGTAGTACTAGAATTTTGGCTAGAATGGGGTACGTTAATCGATTTGCTTGGGACCAATAGGCTAGTCAAGTAGTGAGCCAATTTAAAATCGTTAATTTTCACTGGTTGGTTACATCACCGACGAACGTTAATACGTTAAACACTACCGCCATCTACTCATCCGATCGCGACATATCATGAGCAAGGACACGAACACACGTAACATTTATGTTGACTTGGTTGGCGTCTCACCTCATTTGACAGATCTGATCGCCCGTTGGACAGATCAAATCGCTCATTTGACAAATCGAATTGCGGACAAACGAAATGCTCCAGTGGCATGTCGGTTCGTCGGTGGCTACATTCCTATTAATCTTCTTCTGCTCGGTCTTCTTATATTTCCTCTCCATCATCTTCTCAGTTGCTACATTTTCTTATGCCATCTTCTTTGTCAGCTTCCATTCTGTTTTCCTTTTCATCTTCTTCCGTTTTCTTCACCACGTTTCATCCGTTCCGTCTTTTGTTTTCCCTTCATCGTCTTCTCAGTTCCTGTTTTTCCTTTAGATTCTTCGATACATATTAACTTCCTGCAGAAACTTCAGCAACTGTTTTTCTTGCCATCGTCGTTGCATAACGCCGGATGTACGCTGGTTGATTCAATATCGTATATCACTCTGGCTGTTTCAAACTTCCTGCAGTGTAAAATCACGTGACGGACATCCACGACAGTCCCACAGCATTTGCAAACCGGTGGTGATGATTTTTTCAGCCACAACTCGTGTGTAAGCCTTGCATGGCCGATGCGCAGTCAAGTGAGCACTCGCTGGTCTGTGGAACTTTGCTGGTCAGTCCACTTTTTGGTTTCGTGTTTAACCACCTGCAACTTGACTTCCATTAATTGCGCCAAGCGTTCTTCCCATAGCAGACGAATGGCATGGTTCAATGCCTTGATGGTATCCTTCCTCGGGATGTCGACGTTGAGTGCTTCGACGGCGAGTCGATCTGCTTCTTCATTGCCAGGGATGCCAGCGTGGCCGAGAATCCAACAAAGTTGTATCGGGCGGTTTCTTAAGGTGATTCATTGTAGATTCCACAAATGACCGCCACGTAGGCAATAGATGCACTTCCACTTCGAATTTTCAATTAAACAAATCTCGGATATCAGTACCCCATTTCGCTTGACATTGCTACTTCATGTATGCTGCAGTGCAGCAAACGTGGAGTAACAATTTAAATGTTGCACGTGTCGCAGAAGCTGATCTGTGTGCACTTAAAGTTTCGAAGTTGTTACGAGAATAAGGATGTCACAGCGAATCACCTTAACAGCCCTTCGATCTCTTGGATCCAGGGATGCTGTGACTTGCCGCTTTCTATGGCCTAAAGGCAACTTTTCGAGTCACACAGGATGACCAATTCGTTCGATGTACCCGTGTTGAGAGCCGATTTGATAGCAAAGGCCTGCTCTATGCAGACTGTCACAGGATAACCCTACACCTACTGCGTTGTCACACTTTGATCCGTCAGTGTAGACAACCGAAGCACGATTGAACCAATTTGAAAGTAATTCCTGTACAATGGGACGCACGTCCCATACAATACGTGGTTTGGGTTCATGCCACGTGCCACCTTCGGTTGGCGAAACGCGCCCGCTCAGCGATGTTCGGGAGTCGTTGATCAACCGTCATAAGACGGTCGGTTGCTCGTTGTACAACTGGAAGGTCGATATTTCTGTGTTCCTTCTCCAGCATACGAATAGCAACACGAGCTAAATCATGAAGAACCAGGAGGTCAAACGGTAAGGTCTCTGCTTCAGCCATAATCGCTGGAATCGGGCTGGTGACTTACGCTCCAGAGGCGAACCGGATCATCCGGTTGTAGACGGGCGCAAGATTTTGAATAACGGAGTCCTTCGCTCTGCTGAGAAGTACAATGCCGCAGAGAAGCCGCGAAGTGATGTTTGCCGAACCGATGCACAAGAAAGAGTCATTTTCATAATTCGTAGCCTAAAGTCGCATGCAGTTTTAACTGTCTTGCAATGTTGTTTGAAAGTCAGTGTCCGGTCGAGAGTAACACCGATAATCTTCAGTAGCGTCGTCTTCGGTACAACCGATCGATGCAGATATTGTAGCTGGGCTCTCGGCGGGCGTTTGGACTGCAATAAAAAATGTTGGATTTTGTTGCAGAGATTCTGAAACCGACGCTTTTAGACCACTTGTAGACAGTTCTCACTGCAGCTTGCAGATCACGATACAGAGGTTGCTCGTTATTCCTCCGTACTACGAGCAAAATATCGTCTGCATACAGGAGTACGGTACTGTATGCGGCACCACTCTGAAGATCGGTTGCACTGCTACCAGGAACAGGGTGACCGACAGTACTGACCCTTGAGGAACGCCGTTCTCCAATGGCATTTCACGCGATGAATGTCCTTCCACAATCAGCTACTTTCGGACGGATTATTGATGTGTAAATCCACATTGTCATTTTTGGTTTCAAACCTCACTTTCTTTCAATAGTTGTGTAGCATGCCCACAGGGCACTGGTTACTTTGTTAATCACATAATCAAGCTGAGCATTCCAATTCAACTTGGCGTCCAAAATAACTCCTAGGTATTTGACCTGTTCACTAAGATGGATCTGCTCTCCTCCAAGATTGAATTCTTTTAGGTTTAGGTTCAATTAACTTTGATGCATTTTTTTAAAAAATCAAAAGCAGTTTTTTTCGACGCATTATTTTAGATTGCATTGCTCGCGTCGTTTTGTGTAAAATATCAAAAGGAATCGAATAGTGCGAGCTTTTTGCAATCTAAAATAATGCGTCGTAAAAAACTGCTTTTGAATTTTTCCAAAAAGCATCAAAGTAAATTGAACCTTAATCTTCCTCTTTCTAGTAAAGGGGATGATTACGACTTTTGGTAGATTATTTCTTAGGCCCTCTTTAATGCACCAAAACTGGGTAAACTTTAGGGCCTCTTGCATTATTTCAGAAATGATAACGTCAAACTTTCCTCTTACTATAACGACTATGTCATCCGCAAAGCCCACAACTTCAAAACCTTTTGCTTCCAGGCTTTTTAGAACATCATCTACAACTAAAGACCACAGCAGTGGTCAGAGAACTCCTCCTTGAGGACAACCTTTTGTTGCCGTTACTGTTATAGATGAGCTACCCAGCCCAGAAGTGATTTCCCATTTTGCAAGCATAGTCTGGATCCAGTTGACGATGCGACTATCGAAGTTAATTGCCTTCATGGCGTAAACCATAGAGGAATAGGATGCGTTATCAAAAGCTCCTTCAATATCCAAGAAAGAGCAGAGTGCAATTTCTTTAACTGAAAGAGATTTTTCAAATTTTGTTACTAAGCTATGGAGAGAAGTAACTGTTGACTTTTCGGATTGATACGTAATCTGAAAATTAGATAATGGATGCGTGAACATGTAAGTTGAATTGATGAATTCTGAATTAGGGTAGCATTTCAATGTTTTACTAACTAGAATAGCAGTTCTGGGTGAACTTTGCTGTTCATCATAGTATAACTTACATGCTTTTATGTCGATACCGTGTATTTTTCCTCTATTGGACAATGGCTCTTGAATGTAATGCCAGGTGATCTTGTTGGTCATGTAAGTATCTTACAATACTTCCAAAAAGGACCAGTGATGAGTATGAATGTAGACAGGATGAAACCAGAGGATAGCCATGAGATTCCCTTCAACGTATGTGAAACGGCACGTTCGGATTGGGAAACAAGTGGTCCTAACGTTCGTCAAGACTCAATCATATTTTTCACAGATCAAAAATTGGA